AAAAAAAAAAAAAAAAACCAGCCACAGTCAAAGCATTATCAATTAGAGTCCTGCTGGGCAATATTAACACAGATTCCACTTAAAAGAGACAATCAAAGGCTTAGCAGCAAGTAGGAATACATTTATACTCTTCAAGGAGCCAAAGAAAATGCAAGAACATCTTCCCTAGGAAGACTTCCTACCCTCACATAGTATTTTATCTCTGCTCTTAATCAAACCAGGCGGAGAGAATTTCAGACAGGAGCAGGGTTCACCCACCATTCAAAGGGAAGGCGGAAGCCATGTTCCCATCTTCAACAAAGCAGAATACGGTGGAATCAAATAAACGCTATGTAGTTCCATCTGCAGCATCTCTCACTCTTTCTGCGGGGGGAGGGGAAGAGAAGGAGCGTGATGGGACCGCAGGGTCAGCCTCTGCAAAGGAGTCAGAGCTGGGAGGGCTTTAATGAGGATGTTGGCGCGGAGCGCAGTGCGGGAGAGGACAAAAGGTGAGCAGGAGCAAAGCAGAACGGGAAGCAAAGCCGAAGAGTGACAGCCTAATGGCTTCCCGGGTAAGAAGTTGTCCAAAAGAAGAAAAAAGCAGCTCAGCAATGTTTGTCCCTAAATGCAGTCACTTAAAACCCTAACCGAATACCCAACCGAACCGAGTGCGACAGGCTGAAATGGAGCCAGGCTGAGAAACTGGCCCGGAAAAGGGCGGGGCGGGTCCCTGTAGACGGACCTCGGCCCCGGCCACCCCAGCCCGACCTGGAGAGTCTCCACCGCCCTGAGCCGCGTCTGCCCGGAGCTGCCGTTGGCAGCTGCTCTCCTGGCAGCGTAGAGAGCCAAATCCATGGCATTGCTGGGCCAACAGCTGCTACAGCTCCGGGGGAGGCGACGAGTGCCCGCTGAGACGCTCTGGGCAGAGAATGAACTATTCTCGGGATCAGCCCTAGAGTCAGCAAAATCGAGGCTACACTCCACCGGCTGAATGAAAATACAGTACAACTGCCGCTCCCGAGAGCCAGGAAACCCACAGCCCTTCTTCTGGCCCAGCCTCCCTGGCCCGGAGTGCTTCATGCCCTCACGCCTCTACTTCGGAGGGCACGACTTCGGGCCAGGCCCAGGTCAACCTTCGGCTCCCGCTCCCCGCCACACCTTCTTAACCGGCCTCGGGCTTCCCGGGCTCTCTCCGAGACTGATCTTCTGTGGTGTTGCCATAGTTACCGCCCCGAAGCGCGGCCATAATTAGGTTCCTTGCTCAAAAACTATCAATGGCTCCCCACGCTGACAGAAGAAACCCTGTCACCTGGCAGTCCCAGGCTACTAGGATCAGGCCCCTTCCAACTTTTCCAAGCTTGTTTCACGATTGCACTTATTATTCCATTGCTCCAGATGAGGTACCCACAAGTCTTATGTTTGCAACTCTGTGACTTCACCGACCCTGTTCCTTCTGCCTGAAGTGCTTCCTTCGCCCATCCTTCTATCCTCCTTCTACAGCTTCCGCCTTGTCTCCACTGAATTCAGCTCACAGGACCAGTACCTAGCACCTGCACTTGTGTTTTCCCATTTCCCATCCGCTGACCTTCACCTTCGTGAAGCCCCGCCCAGTCTGCAACCTGAAGAGATGTCTATTCCCTATGCACTGGTGGCGCTTTGTATGGAAGGGTGGACATGGTCTTTCACAGATGCCGTGGCAAAGCTGCGAACAGTCCCCCACTATGTTTCCTCTTCTCCTATATGAATAGAAACTCTACCTTCTGGTCTCCCCACGCAAGAACCCAGAGGGCTCACTACCATGCTGTCGCATCAAACCTGAGCTCCTCTCTCTGCCTTCCAAGGCGCCATCATTTGGGGTCTGCTCCACTTCCCTAACCTTATTTTTCACTGTTTTTGAAAATATCTGTAATCTGGTAACATTTTGCTCAGACCTCCCCTGAAGCCCCTTTCACGTTACATTGTTCCAACGTCTCTCGTGCCTGTTAACGAGGGTTCCAGAGCTTACCTCAGCCTCCAGAGGAATCAGCACAGAGCGCAGCACCCAGCAGGTACTTAAAGGGTGGTTGGTGGGGAAGTTGCTCAGGATAAGATCAGATAGGAAGCTATTAAAGTAAATTACCCACCAAGGGACAGCAAAAGGAGTGAAGTCCCCTCTTAAAGCTCTTAGAGCACCTTGTACTTCCGTTCCACAACACTTACCTCAACTCATCTGTGATTTGTTTAACGTCCGTTTTCTCATCCTGCTGTAAGTGTCCTACACTAGACGCGGCGCTTGTTCACGGCTATGCCCCATGGCACAGTGTCTGGCTTGAAGGAGTTCAAGGAATGTGCAATGGACATTTGTTGAAGGAATGGAAAAGAAACTTCCTTCTAATGAAGGTGGATCCCTCCCTCGTCCCTGTACCCTGTACCCCCTCAGCAGCAAACGCTCCTGCTTCCTCTCAAGGGCACGCGCTGTTCTCTGCTACACAAATCTACCCTCAAAACCTCGTCCAAGTCCCACTTGCTTCCTGAAAACTCTCCTGACTGTTCCAGATCCTTTATCTATCTCTGATGATTTCTCTCTGACCTCTTATCACATCTATATTCCACACAAAACCAATGATTTCTTAATGAGATCAGTATTGCTTTGCTCTCTGGTTGCTTCCTGTATTAAAAATCTTTTCTCCCCAGCCAGATATGGCCCCCTGTGGAGACACAAAATAAACTTCTCTTGTATCTTCCAGTGCCTGTACAATACGGAGTACACAGACAGCTCTTAGTAAATACTCACTGGTTGTTTGGGGGGAGTGGTGGGATGAAGCCAGGTACCAGCTTTATCAGAAGGGAAATAATTCTTCCAAAACACCCTATCCCTGTATGTGATCTTAATCAGAGCAATTCAGCTGACTTAGAGATTAGCACATCTGTACTTTAATTTATAGTAAATATGTCTTTGAGCTGAAAATATGATAGTACTAAAAATCAAATGCTATTTTAAACTTAGGAGTAGCTTACCAACAGAATAAATCCAACATTGAGTCATTTTTCTAAAGCAAATGATTTCTCTCCCAAATCTTCATTTATCATATACTAAAATAACATTTTATTCTCTCCGGATTGCTTATTATAAAGAGAACAGGACTTGAGAAAGATAAGGAGCTCTGAGGACAAAACATCTGGAGGAAATTCTCATTCTGGCTTATACTGAGAGTGTCATCTGTTCTCCTCAAACTTAGCCTCCATATTCATTGCTCAAAGCTGGTTCGTAAAGGAAAATTGTGTCCCAGATTATTAGAGTGATAAACAAAAATAGAAAATGGGGGAAAACAAGATATACTTGGCATTAGTTCCTACATTCATTCATTCATTTACTCATCCAACAATGTTTAGTGAGCATCTATTATATAACCACATACTGCACCAGGCACTGTGGGAGGCTGAAAAATGAATCAGAAAAAGCTTACACCGTCCATGAAGGGAAGAAAATGAAAGGCAGACAGTACTGAATGCCCTAATAAAAGAACAAATAAAATGCTGTAAAAATCAGAAAAGGGAGAGCATTCTTTCCTTTGGGAGAATCAAGAAAGTTTCTTGGACCATGATGCACCTGAGACGGGTCTCAAAGCACAGGTATGTCTTTGACATGCAGAGATGTGAAGAATGGGTACCTAAGTTCAAATAACAGGATGGGCAAAGGCCCGTTGGAGCTGATGTTCTGTTTGGCTAAGGTACAGTAGATGAAAAAAACCAAAGCAGAACAGGAAGTAAGGATGGAAAGCCAGTCAGGACCAAATGTAGAGGGGCTTGAAGAATAAGCCCAGGTGTGTATACCTTTGTGCCTAGAGCAGAACTTCTCAAACTTTAAAGTGCATACCAATCACGTGAGTCTCTTGTCAGGGTAGGTCTGGGGATGGGACCGGAGATTCTATATTTCCAACATCCTAGGTGGTGTCGATATCAGGAGACCACACCCTGGGCATCAAGAACATAGACAGTGGGAAGCCATTGCACAGAGAACCCGCCCAATCTCCAGTGTGTTCCAGGAAGGCTACATCTGCTGAGAGCGGATTGGGCAGACTGGAATGGGGAGAAGCCATACACTGTGGACCCCGACGCTAGTTGTTCGTTACAATCACCTGCAAAGCTTTTACACCATGCCGTAACCCAGGCCCCGCTCCCAGAGATTCTGACTTAATTGCTCTGGAATGAGGCCCAGATTTCAGCATTTTAAAAAAGTTCTCCAGAGAATTCTAATGTGAGAGCAGAGTCGAGAACCTCTGCTGTGGATGATAATGAGTAATGCAATCATTCAGACAACAGGGGTGATGATCTAAACTAGGGCAATGGCAGTGAGGACAGAGTGAAAGGGTCACTTGCATAAAATGCTACCCAAGGAACAGACCATGTGGGCAGTGAGTCAGACATATGGCGACAGCATCATTCATTTCTTCCAATTGAAGACAGTTTGGTCATTTGTTAAGAACACAGACTCTGGAGCCGGAATGCCTGGGTTTGAATCCCAGCTCTGCTATTGATTTACTAGAGGTGTGTGTGTGTGTGTGTGTGTGTGTGAGAGAGAGAGAGAGAGAGAGAGAGAGAAAGAGAAAGAGACAGAGAAATATCTTAAGCAACTTCCTTAACTTCTTTATGACATGGTTTCCTCATCTGTAAACTGGGGATACAACAACGATCAACGCACAAACTTGTGGAGATTAAATGATTAAATTAAATAAGTAAATTAAATTACATTAAATACGTAATACCCTTAGAACCACGCTTAGCACACAGGAAGCGCTCTGAAAGTGTGTGCTGTCATTATTAGCACAGTTCACCATCTCTTCTGACCCCTCTAGGATCCTGACCTGCATATCCGACCCATACAGAAAGACGTCCTTGAAAGGGCTCTCTACCTTTAGCCAGTCAGACGTCCCTGGCGCACCTTTCAAGAATGCGCACGGATCTAGGTGTCACACCCCACCTCACCCCCTCCCTGGCCCCATTCCCGAGGTCCCTGCGGGAAGCAGCCGCGGGGTCCCTACTTGAACTGCTGGTCCTTGGTGCTGCGCGTCTTGGCCAGGAAGCGCTCGGCCAGCTTCTCCAAGTTGCGGGAGTAGTCCATCTCGATCTCTGCCTTCTTCCGGAAGAAGTCCTGGAGGTCCTGTAGAAGCTGCACCCGGAGCTCACACTGCTGATCCAGGCATTTCATCTGCTCCGTGAGCTGGGCGCGGATCTCTACAACACAAGCAAGGCTAGACTGTCAGACGGCGATCCCTAAAGCCAAGACACAACAAAACAGAAACATACATACCCACATTTACCCCTTTTATTTAGTTAGGAACTTAAAGCCTTTAATTTAAAAAAAAAAAAAAAAGGCTCAAGCTTAACGTGGCCATAGGATATGAGGCACCTCCAAAAATTCCACCAACCCTTCTGGGACCACTAAGAAACTGGAACCAGGGATCTGCTGAGTCATTTAAGAGAAACTGCTTATCAGGCATCTGCTATTGGGTTACCATGTCCTGGGCACCTTACTGTGTTTCTGGCATAGTGCGAGAACTTGAGCTCTCTTTTGGCTGAAAGCCTAATGATTCACCTCCTACCCATCCTGTTCCGTGGGCACTACTTTCGTCCCCATTTTAAAGATGAGAAAACTGACTCTTAAGGAAGTCAAGCTGCTAATGTAGTGCAGCTGGGATCCAAACCCAGAAAGACCAACTCTAGAGCCCAAGCTCCTACTTTTTATACTTTCTCCCATGGTCTCAAGATGTTTTCCTGCATCTTCATGAAGGAGGGTGAGTGACCGTCGGGATATTTTAATGGAGATACATAGGGTCCTGCTCCAGATCAAACAGTAGCGATCAAGAACGCAACAAGCACCAGACTTCCAGCCACGCAAACCTCTCAGCATCGATCAGATTTCATAGTTTCCAATATCACAGAATGTAAACCAGTCTTCAAGGAGCTGATTTTTTTTTTCACCAACAAATACCACTCACACTGCTGTCACTTCATCCTCGGGATGCTCAGAGCCTCTTTTGTGTCAAAGCTAGAAATACTCCAGGCTAAGCTCTAGCTTGCGGATTTCGGCCTAGCAGAGAGTCCTCACCCAGGGTTAGCCAACACCCTCCCTGGAACCACAGCAACGTAGCTCCAGATGCAACCAGAGCTGCGTTAAATGCGACACAGCATTTGTTCCTGACAAGAGCCCTGACACCCATGGGGAGCAGCTTGCCAAAACCAGACTGCTTTCGGCTCAGAGAAGGCCGGCAGTGCGCATGCTGCGGCCAGTCCCGTTGCAACGGAGCCATCCCTTCACACCCTTCCCCTGTAAGCCTGCTCAGCTCCGATGCGTTAGGCTGGGCCGGTGGTTCCAATCCCAGGGGAAAAGAGCATCTGTGTAATTATGCCTTTCCTTAGGCATGCCCCAAAGTCATTCCCAAATCGTAGAGAGTCCTAACAAAGCTTTCTATCTATGCCATGTAGTGCAGGGGGCGGGGTGGTAGGGAGATCTAGCGTTTTCATCTGAGCTCTGTCTGGATAAACCAGGGGCAAGTCCAGGATCAGAGCTATGAGGCTGAAAGTTTTGCCCACCACTCTTATGAAGCAATGACAAGGGGCAAATGGTGCATTTAGCTTCGCCTTGAAGTGACTGGGCGTCTATAATCTATCCTTATCTCCATTTTTGTCTCTGTTTTCACCCATATCAGAATGTAGCAGAAGTATCTGGTTCTTTATGCGTGATCTCGGGGGATCTGTAAGTGCAGTTCTCGCCCTCTTCGTCCCCGTGCCTCCCCCTTGCCAACCATCAATGCCAATCAGGCCTACGGGAACCTCACCTGAACTGAAAGTGAGCCCCGGAGGATGGTTTCAAGCAGACAGAAGGCTGAGCTGAAAAGCCGCCTACCTCATCACTCATCAAAGCTCCCTTGTTCTGTGTTTTTTGGGAGTCTGATTACAAGGGTGTTGGGGGAAGATGTGCAGAGGGCAATGTCAGGCATCTAGCCCTTGCCAGAGATTTCTGGGCCTCTTAAAGGGAACAGCCCTTGTCAAGACTATTCGTAGAGGCATCTGTCCCCCTTCTACCTATTGGTAGACAGAAGTAGAAGCTGGCAGTAGTAGCCCCTGAGTGGGCAGACTGTGGGTGGAGAGCGCCCTAAGTAGTATCAGTGAGCACTGACACTGCTCACTGATATTACTTACAACTTGCCCATTAGGGAAGAATCAGAGCATCGTAGGGCCAAAAGGCTCTCCAGGTACCCAGTCAGTTTCAGATTTGCAAGAAGATGTGGGTGGGAAATGGGGCTGTCCGCCCCCTCAGAGTCACCTAAACTTCATGTAAGAATTTGCCTCCGTAATCTCACTAACCAGGAGAGCAGAAAGGAACACGGTACGACATATTATGTGCCACGCTCCAACAAAAAAAGAGGGACGTAGGCAGATTCCCAAGATACCCGTGAAGTTCCAGAGGTAGACCCCTCCAGGATTGCCCTGGCCAAGGAATCAGCACTTCCTAGGCGGCCTCTGAAAGGTGTGAACCAATCTAAGAAGGCCCCAGGCGCATCCAGCCAACACAGACATCCCCCTGCCTTTCCCGGGTGCCTCAAGTGGCCAGCGTAATACAAAGTGCACTCCACTCTCAGGCGTCCCTGAGGGGACTCTGAGAGGAAGGGTTACTGAGGGCTTTAAATGCATCATCTCATCTCATCTCCACAACTAGCCCATCAGGTATCCCCAATTATCCTGACAGCACAGGTAAGAAAAGTGAAGTAAGACCTGTTAAGTCACTTACCAAGGGGTCATACCACTAGGTGCAAGTGAGGCTGAAGCTAAATGAAGGTCTAACTTGCCAAAGAGCTTGACTATGGACCAGAGAAATAAGAGACAGAGAACACAAGCCTGGAGGCTCTGGAAGTATTTCTGGGTAAATTACAGTTTCTATAGCTCCCACCTATGGAACATCCCCTTTTCCACCTTCTAGCTGAGAAATCATTCAGAATCAAGTCTGGACTGGCCCACTGACTCGATAACGAGCCATGTTCTGACTAGCTCACGACTGGTCTGGGCCCCTTCCCTGCTTCTTCCAGCTACTCTACAGGGCAGCTTTGGAGAAAGTGTTTTTTCTTGTCCCGGGAGCATACCCTGAGGTCTGCCAGGATGCCCAGAGGGCAGAGAAAGTGAGGAAGCAATGACACCCCTACCTGATCCAGGAAAAGTAGCCTCTGCTACTAGATCCCACCTGCTACTGTGGTTGATTCCTGATCCCCTCCACTGAGCATCTCCCCTCCCCCACAACCTGCCTAGAAGGAGAAACCTCCCTGGCTGCTGGCCTCAGGATGCCCACACGACATGTAAGGGGGCCTCCAACCACCCCCACCTCTAGGCCTGCAGCTCCAGGACAGAATGGCTGCTCTGTCCGGCACAAAATGTGCTGCTTCAGACTTCTGCTGCTGCTGCAAAGAAAAACAATGGTCCCCAAGAAGGCAGCTGTGCCAGCCCCAGTCCTCTGTCCATGCACAGAAGGGGCAGGAAACAATAGGCCACTGAATGCCAGCCCGCCTGGGCCATGTGCCCAGGCTGGAGGCCCCTCTGTTCCCCGGCCTACCAATAAACTACAGGAGCAGAAAGAAGAAAGGGACAATTTATACGAACACGGAGGAATTCCTCCCAATCCCATCGTGTGCTTACGCGAGTACGCACGTGCACGGGGTGTACACTCAAAGACACACACTCGCACCACCCACGCTGTGCTTCACCACATCCACTCAGGAAGGCATGTGAGGTCCAGTTTTGATGAGCTTCCCTGGGAACTGGAGGTGATGGGGTCCTTGTAGGTTCGGTCCCTAGAACTACACGGGAAGAAGTCAAGCTCTCATTTTCTAGAGGCAGCTGGACCTCAAGGGATGCAAATGAATTCCATGGTCATCCACAAAGCCCAAGTACAAGGTCACCATGAGCCTTGAGTGATACATGCCAAAATGACCTCCCCTGAGCACCTAACACAGCCCATTTATTCACTAAATCTTTACTGAGTCCTGTTGTACCGTAGAGCCTGAGCTAGGTGATGGTGGGGATGAATGAAACAGCCCTGTGCCCTGCCCTAACGAAGCCTGGCTTGACAAAGAAAGAGAGGAAAAGAAAGCAAGGACAGTCTTATTGCTTTTACTTTGAATACTGGTTATTATAGCATAGTCACGGGAGTAAGTCCCAACCCAAAGACCAACGACTAAAAAAATCATCAGTAGCAGACAAAAGAAACCAAAGCAAAAAAAAAAACAAAAAACAAGCCTAAGAAAAATTCAACATCCTCTGGCTCTTTTTTCTATTACTTTTTTTTTTTTAATGATATTTCTGTAGTTTCCTTTGAAAAAAAGAATAAAAGTTTTAAAACTAGTTTCCTGAACATCAGAGTTGACCTTTGGTTGATACTTCATTCAAAGATTCAAGTCAAAATTTAATGCCACCGTTGTGGAATTAGATAGTGGTGATCACTGTATAAGCTTGTGCATACATTGAAAAACAACCCCACTGAATTCGTGTACTTTTTAAAAAGGTGAATTTTGTGGTATGTGAATTACACCTCATTTACAAAATTTAACGCCCCCCAAAGTCATGTTCTTTTGAGCACCATCCTGCCAGCTAAGGGGAAAATGGCCCAACAAAGTGGCACCAAAAAGAGGAAGGAATTCTTGGTTTCCATTTCTCCATTTGCATGGGCTGAATCTCAGTTCTGCATTGAATATTCTTAAAGCCTATACCGGAAGCTGCCCCTCTGGCTGGAAAGCTTGGCCATGACATTGAACTCCACGGGCAGACATCATTTCCGAACGGTGTCAGATTAAAACCAGCAAGGAATGCTTTTATGCATGAGTTCAAATACAGGATCGGCAGACATACCCAGCAAGCCTTCCCCCAGCAGGTGCTGACTCCTTGTCCACACTTGGCCACAGCTGAGATCCTAAGTACACCTGTCCTGGGAGTTAGAAGGAGGCTCATTTCCATTTTGGAAAGAGGGTGAAAGATCACAAGAAGGATGAAATTAGAAGAAAAATTAGCCCTAACAGGATACTACTGATCATTTAACAAAAACAGGGCCTTGCCACAATTCTAATCATGTAGATGCTAAATTATATAACACCTGCCAACACAGGCGACACAGTCCTCTGAAAACTGTCCTCACTTCAGAGAACACCCAGGGAATTCACCAGTCAGCAGAGCAGAGGAGAATTTTGTTG